TGATAGCTTTCTTTGATAGGATAACGAGCCTTGTGGATAAGGGAGAAGCGGTGGATGTCATATACCTAGACTTTAGTAAGGCATTTGATACGGTCTCGCATGATATTCTTATTGATAAACTAGGCAAATATAACTTAGATAGGGCCACGATAAGGTGGGTGCATAATTGGCTGGATAACCGTAGTCAGAGAGTTGTTGTTAACGGTTCTAAATCCTGCTGGAAAGGGATAACAAGTGGAGTTCCTCAAGGGTCTGTTTTGGGACCCGTACTATTCAATATCTTCATCAATGATGTAGATATTGGGATAGAGAGTACTCTTATTAAGTTTGCAGATGATACCAAACTGGGTGGGGTTGCAACTTCTTTGGAGGATAGGGACATAATTCAAAATGACCTTAGCAAGTTAGAGAAATGGTCAGAGGTAAACAGGATGAAGTTTAATAAAGAGAAATGCAAAGTGCTCCACTTAGGAAGGAACAATCAGTTCCATACATACAAGATGGGAAGCGACTGTCTAGGAAGGAGCATGGCGGAAAGGGATCTAGGGTCATAGTGGACCACAAGTTGAATATGAGTCAACAGTGTGATGCTGTTGCAAAAAAAGCAAACATGATTCTAGGTTGTATCAACAGGTGTGTTGTAAGCAAAACTCGTGAAGTCATTCTGCCGCTCTACTCTGTACTAGTTAGGCCTCAGCTGGAGTACTGTGTCCAGTTCTGGGTGCCACATTTCAAGAAAGATGTGGAGAAATTGGAAAGGGTACAGAGAAGAGCGACAAGAATGATTAAAGGTCTAGAGAGCATGACCTATGAAGCCAGGCTTCATGAACTGGGCTTGTTTAGTTTGGAAAAACGAAGATTAAGGGGGGACATGATAGTGGTTTTCAAATATCTAAAAGGGTGTCACAAGGAGGAAGGCGAAAATTTGTTCCTCTTGGTTTCTGAGGACAGGACAAGGAGTAATGGGCTTAAAGTGCAGCAGGGGAGGTTTAGATTGGACATTAGGAAAAAATTCCTAACTGTCAGGGTGGTCAAATATTGGAATAAATTGCCAAGGGAGGTAGTGGAATCTCCCTCTCTGGAGATATTTAAGAACAGGTTAGATAGACATCTGTCAGGGATGGTGTGGATGGAGCTTGGTCCTGCCTTGAGGGCGGGGGGCTGGACTCGATGACCTCTCGAGGTCCCTTCCAGTCCTATGATTCTATGAACATGAAGCAAAGCTAAACTTTTTTTCTAGCAACATTCAACATAGCAAACAGCGTGGGAATTTACTTGTCAAATCAGACTTATACTAAAAGGCATAGAGAGAGAGAGAGAGTCTTGAAGAATGAAGCCATATTGTTCTTCAGCCATATCCACATCTTCATCAACTTCATTTTCTTCCAATCAGTAGTTTTCCTTACGATGTTTCATACTTGCAGCTATGCCCTGCATTTTCTTCTTGCACTGCTTACATTTGATAAGTTTTTCCTTTTTTTACCCAGGGAATGAATTTCTTCAAAATATTCCTAGACAGGGTCTCTTTTACAACCAGAAGCAATGACAGCTTTTCTATAGCAAAAGCACAAAGAACATAGGAAGCTGTGCATGTGTTGATTAATGTCTTCTCTTTTCCTCTCCAGTCCACTCCAATGTTCCTTTGTATGCTGTATCCATCCTTTCCTACATATTGCCTCTCTGTCTTTACACAATGTTGTTAACTCTGCCATGCTTTTAACTCAGGTTCACCACCACACAAGCACAGAACAAAGACAATTCTATTCTGCTTATATCTGTCTTTGCACATGTTCCTCAGTAGACTAACATAAATTGAAAACCCAGAGCTTTCAAAGAGAAAGAGCTGGCTGTTAGGCTGGATAGACTAGAATCATTCATTCATTTTTATGAGACTGTAAGTTTATGTGTAGCATGTTTGTGATACGATTTAACTGTAACTTATTTTTAAATGAGAAATTTAGTATTTTAATCGATAAAAAATCTTATTTAAATACAAAAAAAATCAGACTTTTTGTATTTTATTTTTAAAAATTGCGTAGTCATAGCATTAACCTACAAGCCTTTGCTTATCGGTTACTCACTTAATCGACTACACTATTACATCCCTAGTTTTAACATTATGCCAGTTTGAATTAGGGATGTAAAATTCCGTTTAATTGGCTAACCAGTTAAAAATATTGTTTAACTCAGTGTTTCCCAAACTATGGGCTGTGGCCTGCTACTGGGCCGCAGGAAAAAAAATACTGGGTCTCAGCGTGGTTGCCGGGGTGTTCCGGGCTCCTGGAGTGCCCATGTGGCACTGGGTCCGCCAAGCACTTGGCCAGCCTGGGCATAACCTGCAGCCTGATGTTCCAGCTCCCAGCGGAGGCGTAGCTAGGGGAGGTCAGGAGCGGGGGCGGAGAGGAGGAGAGAAGAGCTGGGAATCGGAGCAGGCTTTGGAGAGTTGGGGTGGGGGGCAGCCAACGGAAGCAGAGCTGGCCAGGGGGCTGGCCAGGAGATCAGGAGGAGGAGTAGGGGAGAAGCGGCTGCTGGAAGCAGGGCTTATCTGGGGCATCGGAGCGGGGCGAGAGAGTTTAGGGGGGCCGACGGAAGCAGGATTGCTGGGGGAAGTGAGGTTGGGAGTAGGGAGCTGGCCGGGGAAAATGTGGGGGGGGGGAGGAGAGAGAAGCAGCCGCCGGAAACAGGGCTGGCTGCGGGCAGTGGGGCTGGCCAAGGGAGATTGGGAGGAGAAGCGAGGGAGAACTGGCTGTCTGGGAGGGGGTTGGAGGAAGTGGGGCTGGCCAAAGGCACAGAGGGGGAGGGGGGAAGCGGGACTGACCCGGCCATATGTAGAACTCGGAGCGCTACCCCCGCAAAGCACGAGTGAGTCCGACCTGGGGATTCTATTGTGCCCCCCGCCCCCCCACTCTCTCGAGTAGTTGCAAAGTGGCTGGCTGGTAGACACATTCATGCAGCCTAAGCACACTTAGCAGCCAGGCAGTTCGAAACTACAAACTGATTCACCTAGTAATAAAACGTACCTAATGAGGATCTGAGGAAGTGGGTCTGGCCCACGAAAGCTCATCATCTAATAAACCATCTTGTTAGTCTTTAAAGTGCTACATTGTCCTGCATTTTGCTTCAACTACCCCAGACTAACACGGCTACATTTCTATCACTGGTATTTTCTCAGTTTGTTTTTTATGTGTTTATATTTTTGGGCTGCAAAAAACAGTACTGAAAAAAAGGGTTCCAACTAAAGTAAAAAGTTTGGGAAACCCTGGTCTAACCAGCTTTCTGTCTGTCTTACAGTCCATTTATCCAATCCATATTCTTTAACTTGATGGCAATAATATTGTGGGTGTCCATATCAAAAGCTTTGCTAAAGCTGGCACTGGAGGCTTTGGGAGGACCAGAAACAACTTATTTTAATAATCATAATTTGATTAATGAATATGCAAATATGCACATAAATGTTACTGATCCTCCAAAAGTTCATGAATGGATTTACTGGTCCCCGTGTCAAAAAGTTTGGGAACCCTTAGTTTAACTGATTAAAGGGGAGTGAGCGAGGGGAGATGCTCCAGTTTGACTTGAGTGACCCCCCTGTCCACCACTCAGCTGGAATGCCTCTCCCTTCCTCCATCATGGCCAGAGCAGCCTCTGCCTCTGGCCACCCCAGCTGCAGGTAGGGTACACCAGTTGGAACGCCAGAACATCCCCTACCTGTGCTGAGCCAGGGCATCCCTCAGGCAAGGTCTGCTCGGACATCCTGGCCTGAGGAGCTCTCTGTCTGTGGGTGGACTCCCCCCTCCCCACGTGGCTGAAGCAGCCCCCTGCCCACAGCATGTGGGGAGCTCCTCCAGCCTCACCAGTTAACCTTAACCTCACCCATTAAGGCAGCTCACTCCTGTGTTGCTGTCTCTGTAGGAGGCAACAAGGGAGCACACAGCTCTGCAAAGCCAGCTGCCCATTTGTATTGGATCACGCCCGCTCCCCTCGCCACAGGCTTCTGCCACTCTATCAGAAGTAGAAGCACAGGAGGTGATGGTAGGGAGCTCCATGTTAAATGCTTTTTAAAGTGGCTTCCCCAAGCACCGGCTCCCATCTTACTACCTCCTAGAGAGGCAGTGGGGGAGAAGGCATCTCCGTGGAAGCCAGCACATGCAGAGAGCTGACTCCTGCCTCCCAACCCCTTGCTGCCTCTGATACAGAAGCAGCAAGGGTGTATGTGTGTGTGTAGTTGTTAGGATTAACCAATGAGCCCAGGCTTATCAGTTTATCATGTAAACAACTACACGTTAACATCCATACTCCATGCAGGGCTCTAGCTATATCAATTGGCAGCAGCACCCGCGTACAGAGGACATATGGCCATTACTGTAATTCTGGGTGGCCTAGAGCTAGTCTGCGTGGGACAGTGTTTGGAACACTGGAAGACACCAGCATCTTGCCTACTACACTCAGGTAGCTGCACCAGTGCTAGCAAGGAGAACCTTTTAGGGGAAAGCATACAGATGTAAACAAGGCGAAACCCGTGTGTAGCTCAAAGTTATACTCCAATCAAGCAGAGGAGGACAATTCCCATTTGAGTCCAGTGTGCCAGGTGCAGAGCTGAGACTCGCCATTGGGGCAGTATGTAAATTCCACCGGCCCCCTTCCTGGGTTCAGATCTCTGGGAGCAAGGCACCCTGGCATCGAATGGCAGGGGGAGGGGGTGTCGCACCAGCCCCTATTATCTGGGGACTGGGACGTGCGCAAGGAAAGAGAGCACCAGCCTGCATAGAGATCATAAGAACAGTCGCACTAGGTCAGACCAATGGCCCATCCAGCTCAGTATCCTCTCCCCCAGCAGGCCAGTGCCTGGTCCAGAACAGGCGGCAGCCCCATGACCAACAATCCCACGCGCAGAGTAGGCCACAGCCAGACAAACCCCAACACGGTTCCGTCATGTCGCTGCGGTCTCTGCACGGGACTTTCATGCGGGGACCCAAAGGCAGTAACGCTCCCTCCATACTCACCGGCCTGCGTGCTCCTCTCGCCCGCCGCGCGCGGCCGCAGCTACTCCCACTCCCGTAGCAACAGTGGCCGTTGCTACGGAAAAGGTCACTTCCTCCGGCTGCGGGCCCGGCGAGACTGTGCCCGGTTGCCTGATGGGAGATGTAGTTGGGTGGCGAGCAACCCAGCATTCGGACTCCACTGCGCTCTCTTTCCGTGTGTCCACCGCGCTGCATCTCGGGAGGTGTAGTTCTGCCAGGAGCAGCGGGCCTGCGCTGGTGCCCGCCTCGAGCGGCTGAAAAGACTACTGGCAGGCCGAGCGCGGGCCTTGCGTGTGTCTGTGCTCGAGCACAGTGGGCTGCAGCATGAAGAGGCGAGCAGGGGCGAGAGAGAAAGAAGCCAAGCGCTCTCTTTCCGTGTGTCCACCGCGCTGCATCTCGGGAGGTGTAGTTCTGCCAGGAGCAGCGGGCCTGCGCTGGTGCCCGCCTCGAGCGGCTGAAAAGACTACTGGCAGGCCGAGCGCGGGCCTTGCGTGTGTCTGTGCTCGAGCACAGTGGGCTGCAGCATGAAGAGGCGAGCAGGGGCGAGAGAGAAAGAAGCCAAGGTATCTTCCCTTTGCTGCCCGCCCCTCCCAGTCCTGTCAGGCACCCGCCCGCCTCTCC